AACCAACAAGAAATTCTCAAAATGCTGCTAACAGTATTTTTATAGGTCCAGGCAGAAAGCACTACTGTCAGCCACAATTCACTTTGTTTACCGTCATCCACCCATACAGGAATGCCAGAAACTTGATCCTGGGAACAACAGCTAGTCTTGAATAGGTTATTATTACCAAGATTCCAAAGAAACATTGCACGGTTGACCCAGCTAAAAACAGCTTCATCTACAACTGTAATTTGCATAGTCAAATCGGTGGGTCAATAATCAACCTAGACATGTAAATCTGTCCAGGCCTTTCTATTTGCTACCACACAATCACCAACAGCACAGAATCCACCATGGGAAACTGTGAAAGTACAGCATGTGGTAACACATTCAGATGTTTTAATGCAGGTGCAACTCAAAAGGTCAAGTCTGACAAATGGCATAAGAGGCATACTTGCAAAATCTGCAGTTCACATTTAAAAAAAGCACACATACTGTTCTGTTGCGCTGACAGAATGGTTACACTTCTTCTCTCTTTGCCAAAATAATTTCCTGGTTTACTTACACCTTTATTAACACTATCTGGGGGTGAGCAATGCGGTGGCGGATATAAACACATACAAAATACAATTTCTACAAGTCAAAATAGTTTACAAAACATGAAATATATAAAGAAAGAATATGTTGACTTATTATATCAACACAGATCCTGATGGAAAATCTAATGGATGGGATTAAAGAAAAAAAACACAAAACATTTTAACTCGCATCTATGGTTCTATACATACACTAGCCAATATCAGTGTTATCCTGGCTTAAAATGGGCTTTTGGTGGACAACTAGTCATATAAGCATGATCAGTTAGCATACAGTCAGTTACCCTATCTCTGGATTTTCCTACTTATTTGATAAACAAAATGTTTTATATGCTTGAGTAAATGGCACCTGCATTAACAGAACAGATTAAAATTAGTTTGACTACATTTTCTGATGATTTGGTGGGTGCTAAAGGTTGTTCAATGTAGGAAAATTCTTGAATATGTACAGGTTTTCAACCATTTCAACGACTGACCTCAAAGTTATGAAATGCTATTAAAAAAAATGGCATAAAACATCTCTTACACAAATGTTGAAGTTAGTAAAACATAAAAAGATTTGTTTAAAGATTGCATTTCAGTTTTGTTTCCTTCCACCTACTAAATCCCATCACTGCCACTACTGCATAATGCAAAGCAAACACACCAAATGTAATCAATGCAACTCAATATATTATTTCTAACGTATTAACCTCAAAGTGATGAAACCTCTCACAGTGATCATGGATTACTCCAATGAAATCTGAGCATGTTTGGAAAACTCGAGGCTCTCCAACAAATCAGCAATTGTTAATCAGGCTCTCTCCCAGAAGCGCTGGAGCTTAAGGAAATTCAAAGCCTCACAAAAGTGAATTCCACAGAGCAACATGTTGCCCTCTTTTTTTCCTGCCCTTTTCCAAACAACATAGCTCCTGCACACAAAAATTAGCTGCTTACAACCCCTTCGTTTAAGTGCCCTTTAATACCTGCGTGAAGTTTTAGAGGAACATTTCACCGTGAGTGCTAGTTTTTAAAAAAGAAACGTCACGAATCTACAAAGTTTCAATCCACTCCATTTAAACAAAGCTCTTACATTTCTTTTCCTTCTTGAGTTGCCAACAGCAGTGTTTCCATCTCTTATCCCAGCATCCCGTAGCAGGAACCCGTTAACTTACATAACTTTAAATTTACCACGACTATCACTGCCCAGACAGACATCACTTTGCAGAATCTGAACTTATATAACAAGGCTGTCTACCAATTAATTTTTATCCGTTATAATCCTTTGACAGCTGTAGGGTATATTGTGGTGTATTTGGTCTAATGCCTGCATACCATTTACTAGTTTAACTGAAGCACCGGCAATGAAAACGTTATGGATGAGTGAGTGCTGCAACGACTGTGCTACGCCATGAACTCTAGTAACCCCTCTGTCTCGACGGAAAAAAAATTCTCGCAAAACGCCGCAAATACGGCAATATTTTGCTTGCTATACTGGTCTGTATCGTCCACGAATACTTATAACAGACATGCCAATGCATGCCTACGGTTTCCACGCAGTTTCGTGGATGTAAAAGTGATAGAAATAGCGAGCTATGACAGCGTACGTGCGCTATGTGATGAGCTGCATCAAGCTAACGCTTTCAGCTAGCATCACTGTCACCGAGCCGAGGAACTACTAACAACAACAACCTAGCTTATGTTTAACACAGCAGGAAATAAAACACTCCAAACGAATCAGCTTGCTTTTGACCTTACAAATTAAGGCGCTAGCCTTCGCACATATTCACATAAAATGTTCTAGCTTATAACGCTTGAGGATTACCATAACCTGCTCCCCTAGGCAAGTAAGCCCAAATGTAGCAGACTGGGACACTCGGCTAGCAACCAGTTATGGCACGTAGACAAATTTCTTTAAAAAAAATAAGAACTTACGTTTGAAGGACGATGTTCGCACAATGTACAACTGTTTCTGGATGCCTTACGGGTCGGATATCGACCATTTTAACTCGCCACCGCCCGAGTTAACGGTCCTCCCGGAGTGAGCACTTCACGCTGAAACGACGCGGCCCATCCGCTCATCTTACCTAGCGGCCATTATCCAAGTTACCAAGCAAGATGTACCGAGCATGCGCAATGTTACCGTCCCGTACAGAAAGAACAGGTTATATCTTTTTAACCTGACAAAGCTTTTTATTCACAACATATTGTCAAAGACTGTTATAAAGTGGAATTAGGATGTGTGATATTTTTTGTCACTCAATTAATGGCAAAAAATAAATTTGGGAGGGGAATGAAACATTACAGAAATAAGTCATCATAGTATATTAACAAACGCCTAAAATATTTCATCATCATCATCATCATCGTTTATTTATATAGCACTTTAAAAACACACAAGGCTGACCAAAGTGCTGAACAATAGAAACATAATAGATACCATAAGAATAATAAATACGATAAAAATAATAAACATAGCGAAAACAATAAAATATAAGTAAATACAAGTCAGTCAACCACTGAGTCAAAAGC